AGCCAATGCGAGGAGACTGGTGTGGGCTGCGCGGATTGAGTTTCACTCCCGTTGCTTGAGATTTTTCTCTCCCTGTTGTGCTTTTCCTCTTTATTTACGGGATTGGACAGGCGAAGGCACTGATGGAGCCCTAGCGAGCAAGACGTTTGCCTGCTGGATTTGGGATTCAGTGCTGAGCAACCACTTCTTGCCGTCGCCCCTGCCATGGCTGGGCTTCTGTCACTCCAAGCCTCCTGAGCACGCGACCCACCCGCCTCTACTGGGGTGTTCTATGTTGTGTTCTCTTCCTTTTTGCTGTCCTTAGAGGTTAGTGTATGAGGCTTTCGAATGCATGGGAGATGGGTCAGGACCAGACAAAGCAGCAGATAGAGAAGGGACTCCATCTTTACCAGTCTAATCAGACCGAAAAGGCCCTGCGAGTCTGGATGAGGGTTTTGGAGAAGTCTGCGGATCCTGCTGGCAGGTTTCGGGTTTTGGGTTGCCTCATCACTGCTCACGCAGAGATGGGCAGATACAAAGATATGCTGAAGGTAAGGCGGACTGGAGATGAATGCATGCCTGAGCGTGCCTGGAGATTACGGTGTGGAATTGGGGGGTTTATTTCGTGTGTAGCAGAACATGCCAGCTCTCAAGTGCGTGTTGTGGGGTGCTGTGATTGCTGCGGTGAGCAATAGCTCCAGCCCACAAGATACGCAGATCGCTGCTTTTCGCTGGGTCTAGTCCCTCAGGATTCCGGGTTACTGAGATTCTCCCCATAATCACGGGGACCTTTCTTGATTTACTCCTCCCTTACAGGGACACCACGTTGCCAGCCTTCAGGAAGAGGTTTTTTTAAAAGAGATCTCCGGGTGGATTCTGTAGAATGAGCAGCAGCCTTGCGGAGACATGTCTGTTACCTTGTTGTTCAACTGCTACTTGATACCTAACACGGATCTTACATTGTGGGGGTTTTTTACTACAATTATTTGTTTGCAGAGCGGCTGATTAAGAGGGAAAAAGGATGCTTTTTTGATGGGGAGTGTTGAGAGGCGTTGCAGGAGGGGTCTGACAGTTGAGGTCAGAGAGGGGCTCACACTTGTCAACAGCACAGAAGAAGGAAGGATACGGGGCGTGACGGAAGAGTGGTAGAAAGAAACTGAAGTTACATGTCAAGACCATAAAGATGTTTGATTAAATAAACAAAAAGAAGCTGATAAGTGGATCTGAGAAGAAGCAGAGAGCAGGAGGGTGGCTCGGGAATCTGGAAGACAAGGCAAGAGGATGTTGTAATAGTCTTAAGAAACTATCCCAGCCTGAAATAGGATCTTGCTAACAGGTCCTGATATTCTGGTCCCGGTGGACTTGGTTGTCTCTTGCTAGACTGGTAATCATTCAGCATTTAGCACAGAGTGGGCAGGGGGTGCCCGCATCTCACTGGAAGGTTTTGGTAGCTGTTTAGAGTTGGGGGGAGCACGAATTCCTAGTAAACCCATGCACGTGTCGAAGTCATATCTTAAAAGCAAGTACTTAGGATGAAGAAGAAAAGAGAGGTGTTAATACACTTGGAAAACATTTGAAGAAAAGAAAAAGTGTGATGAGTGATGTGGAATTAGGTGGTGGCAGAAACAAGAGACTGGTTGGGGAAGAGAGAAGCAAAAAAGGTAAGGTGTGGCTACCTGACGGAAATCCCGAAGGAAAACGAGGAACAGGCAAAGGCGTGGGCTCAGTATACCTGAACCTCTGAGAAGAGAACAGAAAGTGGGATCAGAGTAGGTGGATTTTGGTTCTTCCCAGTATTAGGAAGGGAAAACTGCTTCAGTCAAACTAAAGATTTTACATTGTCAGTAATTAAAGACAGAGGAAGGAGAAATTTCGCAATTAGTGATTGAGAGAGGAAGTAACAGGAGAAAAGGGGCCAGGATTAAAGGCATGAAATGAACTGATTTAAGAAGTGTTAGGATGCTCAACCTCTTTTGGAGAGAAAAATTACTACACCCCAGGG